ATTTTATGTGATGCTCCTTAAACAGTTAAGCCCCGGGTATTTTGTCATATTATATATGGAATTCACTTTATCACTGTGGTATGCAGTCTTATAAACAATGCATAGGACAATGCATATAACTCACATTTTGGTATTGACCTACATTCTGCCTTCTTGTTAGTTTGTTGTTTTAATTGAAATGTAGTTGATTTACAATGTTGTGTTAGTTTCAGGTGTACAGCAAAGTGATTCAGTTATATATTTATATCCTTTTTCAGATTCTTTTCCATTATAGGTTATCACAAAACACTGACTGTAGTTCCCTGTGCTATACAATGTAACCTTGCTGTCTATCTGTTTTGTATATAGTAGTGTGTATCTGTTAATCCCAAGCTCCTAATTTATCCCTCCTTTCTACCCCTTTCCCCTTTGGTAACCATAGTTTGTTTTCTATGTTTGTTGAGTCTATTTCTAGTTTGTAAATAAGTTTTTTTCTATCATTTTTCTTAGCTTCCACATATAAGTGATATCATATGATACTTGTCTTTCTCTGTCTGACTTTGTTCACTTCATATGATCATCTCTAGGTCCATCTACGTTGCTGCAAATGGCATTATTTTATTCTTTTTTATAGCTGAGTAATATTCTGTTTTTTATATATGTATATTATATATGTACACCACATCTTTATCTTTTCATCTGTCAGTGGTCATTTAGATGGCTTCCGTGTCTTGGCTATTGTAAATAGTGCTGCTATGAACAGTGAGGGGCATGTATTTTTTGAATTAATGTTTCCACTGGATACACGCCCAGGAATGGGATTGCTGGATCATATGCTGGGACAGTAAGGAACCTCTATACTGTTCTCTGTAGTGGCTGCATCAAACTACATTCCCACCAGCAGTGTAGGAGGGTTCCCTTTTCTCCACACCCTCTCCAGCATTTATTATTTGTAGGCTTTTTGATGATAGCCATTCTGACTGGTGTGAGGTGATATCTCATTGTAGTTTTGATTTGCATTTATCTAGTAATTAGTGATATTGAGCATCTTTTCCTGTGCCTATTGGCACATGTATGTCTTCTTTGAAGAAAAGCCTATTTCTGCTCTCTTCTAAAATTATCTAGTTGAAATGCATGAGGCTGTTCCAGGATATTCTGAAATTTTATCAAGTAGAAACAAATTCATTATTTCTTGGCAAGAGAAATTGTAGTCAACCTAGAGAAAAAGATGCTTAGAGAAAATATTCAGTGATTGATCCTTGTGTCAGGTAAAAATTCAAGAAAGCATATGTGATAATGATAGCTGCTCACCTGCAGAATGAAGTGTGTATCAAAATGCTTTTACTATTCCACAGTGTAAGAACTTTAAGGTGTAATTATTATCAGATGTTTATATATGCATAGGACTTTAGTTGAAACTCATGTCTTTCATCTTCTCTGTCAAGAAGAACAACCTTCAGAAAGCTTAGAAGAAACAAAGATAAGAGAGAACCAAAACCAAGATAAATGTAGAGATTATAGGAGTGTAATTATAAAAGAACTCAAGTCTTATGATCTGGACAAAATACATATGAATATTTCAGGAGGGCTGGGTTGGATGAATATTTTGGGAGAGCATGGTGGGTGAAATCAGTTCTCTGAATTGAATCTTTGAAGAGCCAGAGAAAACAGAAGAGGAACCACTGTGGTTCACATTTCCAAAGAGGAGAGATAGATTCCACAAAACAAACCAAAATATTTGATATGTGTTTCAGGCAAAATTATTGACTGAATTATTAAAAACTTGATTTGAGTTGACTTAGAAAATCAAGTTCAAAATGAAAAGAAAAGTAGGGATAATAAGGAATAAATCATCCCAGATTAAACTAATTGTCAGTAGAGCTACTAAATTGGCAAGAAAGAATGATATAAAATGGCATATCATGATTGCAGCAAGATGTTAGACATTGTCTTTTATAGTATTTTGTCTTGTATTCAAAACAGAGAATTGTAAATTGGATCAAGGAAGTTAGTTGGGTTTAAAACAGGTTGAACAACTGTGGTAAAAAAAAAAAGTGTTGACCAAAAGGGAATTCCAAGAGCATCTGTTGTATCTCATTCAGTGCTTTTACCAGTGATTCAAATAGAGACTACGAGCCACTCTAGAAGATTCTAAGCTGAGACATATTAAATACCCACATGATGGAAACAGGACATGAAAGATCTCAACTGGCTTAAGCAATGAGCCAAGTCAAACAAAAATGAAACAAAATAAAGAGGTTTTTTTTTAAATTTTTACATGGATTGCCAGAATTTTGTTCGAGAAAAGGGAAAGAAAGATTACAGAACGGGGAGTAAAAAGCAGGGAGCTTTGGTGAAAGGACAGTATGTCATCTTCCCAGGACTGCCGTAACCAAGAACTGAGTGATTTAGAACAACAGAAATATGCTGTCTCTCAGTTCTGGAAGCCAGAAATCTGAAATCAAGGTGTTGGCAGGGCAGGCTCTCTCCGATGGCTCTAAGGGAGAATCTTTCCTCATACCTAGTAGCTTCTGGTGTTTGCCAAAAATCCTTAGCGTTCCCTGGCTTGTGGATACATCACTGCAGTCACATGGCCATCTTCTCCCCTTGTCTACACATCATCTCCCCTCTGTGCGTGTCTGTCTTAGTGTCCTAATTTCCCCTTTTCATAAGGATACCAGTCACGTTGGATTAGGGCCCGCCCTAATAACCTTGTTTTACTAAATCACCTCTGTAAAATCCTGTTTTACAAACAATTCCACATTCTGAGGTACGAGGGGTTAGAACTTCAGCCTTTCTTTTGAGGGGAACACAACTCACCCCAT